ATTCAGGCGGTTCATAATTAATTGTCTTTTAATTGATAAGATCAAGATCAGGATTATTTCTACTTAAATTTTAAATATTTTTCTATACTGTATATTCTGTAATAATTCCAATGTTCATTACCCGTAACAAAATCTTCAATTCGAATTTCAATACTTAAAAACATCAGCTAATATTGAAATAGTACAAGATAGTGTTTTAGGTGTGTCATTTTTTTGTATTTCAATTTTTTCTTATATTCTCAAACTAAGCCTAGTACAAGCCAACATGATGAAATAAGAAAAATAAGACGCGGTCCGTTAATCACCTTTTTAAAAAATCGAGTTACGTAAGCCACTTATATGCGCGTTTTTAGAAATTCGAGTGAAAAAAAAAATTTCCATATACGTATATGACATTTTCACAAGGAAGGTAATGCTATTATCATTATTTCATAATCATAATCTAATAAATTATAATACGAATTAACATTGAAATGTTTTTGATGAACTTTTGATTAAAATAAGGAAGAAATTGATCAAATTGGCTAAGCCTATTCCAAGTCAATTCTATATCACCTAAGTAGAAAAATTTAATGTTTCGTTTTTATTGGTTCGAAACTTTTTTAAAAAACATCTGGCCAATCAAATCAGCTTCCAAATCGAGGATAAAAATTTTACTCGTATAATATATAGTATAGCCTTGTCAAAATCCGATCATTATTAAACCGACTTTTTGTAAAAGATGTCTAGCAATATTTCTAATGAAGCTGAAGAGATAGTATCTCAGGCTAATGATCAGGCACAAAAAGGGTAATAATAATATGGTCACATAATGTTTACCTAGAGATAATGCTAAAAGAATTGGATTTTTCCATAGCCATTCTTCAAAGTCCGGAAAGAAATCTACTCCGAAAAAGCCTTCTAAAAAAACTGAGGGTATGCTTTATAAAATTGGTTCAAATAATCCTTAGATAACATACTTAATTCAGTCGCCTTTCATAGCACATATTGAAGGTGCCTCTCAGCTTGGTATCGAGGTTCGAAAAGAAGTAGACTTTTCTCTCTGGTATAAGCAGGTATAATTTTTGATAAAAATTTCGACTATTATGTTGAAAGATGGATTAAAATGTTAATTTATTATCTTTAAGGTATTGAGACGTTCTGAAATGTTAGAATATTATGAAGAAGTTTCTGGATGTTATATCATAAGGCCTTTAGCTTATAATATATGGCAAGAAATTCAGAGTACGTCAGCCATATTGATTAATTAGATTGTTGTTTTTTTTATTTGTAACTGTTCTAACATACGCTTGACATTATCGATAGATTTTTTTGATGCCGCCATTAAAGAGTTGGGAGTCGAAAATACTTATTTTCCGATGTTTGTGTCACAGCGACAATTAGAAAGAGAAAAGGATCATGTTGAAGGATTTGCCCCTGAGGTCGCTTGGGTCACCAAAGCGTTTGTATCAATTTATCGAAACTAATTAAATTTCTTTATTGATTAGAAATGCATAATAAAATTTTCCAATTTTTAACAGGGGATCCAACAATATGGAAAGTCCTATTGCGATTCGCCCAACTTCCGAAACAGTAATGTATCCATATTTCGCCAAATGGATTAGAACTCATCGTGATTTACCATTAAAACTTAATCAATGGTGTAATGTTGTTCGATGGGAATTCAAAAATCCGCGTATGTTTTAAAGTATTTTTATTTTATTTTATTTTGGTTATTAAAACGTGTAATTATGATTAAATCTCATCACTTTCATTTCGTATTTTTAGAACCTTTTATTAGAACACGTGAATTTTTGTGGCAAGAAGGTCATACTGCACATTTTACTAAAGAAGAAGCTGATACTGAAGTATATCAAATTCTAGAACTTTATCGTCAAGTGTATGAGGATATGCTTGCGTTTCCTGTAATTAAAGGAATTAAATCTGAAAAGGAAAAATTTGCTGGTGGACTTTATACTACCACTCTTGAAGGTTTTATTCCAACCACAGGTCGTGGAGTTCAGGCCGCTACCTCTCATTGTTTAGGTCAAAATTTTTCGAAAATGTTTGATATTGTGATTGAAGATCCTAATGCTCCAGCAGGTCCTGATGGTAAAGATGCCAAGAAAATGTATGTTTGGCAAAATTCTTGGGGTATTAGCACTCGTGCTATTGGTGTTATGGTTATGGTTCATGGTGATGATAAAGGTTTGGTCTTGCCTCCTCGTGTTGCTGCAACTCAAGTTATTGTCATTCCATGTGGTATAACATCAAAGACCACGGAAGATGAGAAAAAACGTGTTGAAGACAAAATAAATCATGTAGTTAAAGAGTTGAAATCAGCTGAGATCAAAGCTAAATCAGATCTAAGAGAGAATTATTCACCAGGTTATAAGTTTAATCACTGGGAATTGAAAGTGAGTACGATAATATTTTATATAATTTTATAAATATATCTTGTTCTCTCATTATTTAATAATTTATTTAGGGTGTTCCGATTCGTCTGGAAATAGGTCCACGCGACTTATCAAAGGAGCAAACACTTATGATTCGCCGTGATAATGGCGTTAAAGAACCTATTCCTTTAGCAGATCTCACTTCACGAATCTCTGATACTCTTAAATGTATTCAAAAAGATATGTTCGATCGCGCCAAAAAAGTTTATGATGATCATGTAAAATTAGTTTTAAATTGGGATGACTTTGTTCCAAACTTGGACAATAAAAATTTCGTTCTTACTCCTTGGTGCGAAGAAGAAAAATGTGAAGATAGCATAAAAGAAAAAAGTACCAGACAGTAAGTTCTAACGTTTTAAATATTCGAAGTTTAAAAATGACAACTTATATTATTTTAATTAAATTCATAGCACCACTGAACAAGAAGCTGAAGATGAAAAGGCTCCATCAATGGGTGCCAAATCTCTATGCATTCCTCTTGAGCAACCTAATGATCCTCCAATTATTCCTGGTGAAACAAAGTGTGTTTCTTGTGGTGCATTAGCTAAAAGATATGCATTATTTGGCAGAAGTTACTAATTAGATTTAATAATAATATATATAATATAAGCTTAAATATTTATGTGAACTAAATGATAGATATTATATGATAGTATAATGTATATTATTTAGACTAAAAGTATAAGATAAAATAATAATTTTTTTTTTTTATTGATCTAATAAATAAATATATTAAAATATTTAGTCTTCTTATATTCATATTTAATACACGTAAGTTCATTAACTCTTCTGGTAAATTTTTTTTTAAAATATAATTACTAACTCGAAAAAAAAGAAGCTAAAAAGGATAATATCAAGAGAAATCTCAAGATAACGCTAAATTCTAACATTGCCTTTATTTTATCCTATATAAATACACGCCTATATAAAGTATTAAATTTCTCAATATCGTTAGTAGAGTAATACCTGAACATAAGTTAGGAGAAGCCCATACATAACAAAAAGAAAAGGTTTTAGAAAAAAAAAGAAATAAAAATGTAACCCTGAAACGCAATACAAATCGAAAAATTATTTGACCGAAAATTGGTAATTAGTGATTAAAAATGTGACGAATTGCGACAACTTGTAAGGTTAGTAATTAAAGCATCAGAAAGAAAAGTTAATCACTATTTATTTCGGTGGTGGGGGTGGTTGAGTTGGTGGTGGGGGTGGTGGTGGTGGGGCAGGGGCAGAAGGTGGCGGTGGTGGAGGCGGCTGCTAAAGATTCATTAATGTCAATTAGAATAGAATATGTTACTTATATATATATAAAAAACATAAATCAACATTAAAATATTATAATATAATTACCCATCGAGCCGTAGAAGGAGGAGGTGGTGGATATCCTGCAGCTGCGGCTGCCGTTGAATAAGTTGTACCATAGACACCATAATTAGGATTATTATAAGTTGCGTATGAATAACTCGAGGCAGCAACAGGTGGAGGGTACATGGAAACATTAGGAGTAGAGGGATACAAAGAAGCTCCTGGTGGAGGAGGTGGTGGATAAGACGACTTTACTGTGCTCCAGGGTGTAGAAGTTGATAATCCCGGAGGTGGTGGGGCACTACCTAATCCTAATAACAAATTTTAGGTTTGTGTGAATATCTGATCTAGTTTGGCGAATTAATTAAATAAAACAAATATTATAAAAAATACCTGGTGGTGGTGGAATATTTTGTTGCTGCCATGGTGGCAAAGCACTAGTCCCAGCATGTACATTAGGTGCAGTCATGGACGGTTTTGGAGCCCAAGGTGGCGCAGTAGCAGAACCTGCAATTGAATGAGATTGCCACGGGGGCTTAGAACCACCCGAAGGACCGTAATGTCCCTATATATTTTAAAAATCGATTAGAACTATTGAATTTGAATTGAACCAATCTATAATAATATAATATATACCACTTTAGCGCCAGGTTCATTAGTCCTCGATGTTTCAACATTTTCTCCTAATTCAGCCATTAAGCTCAAATATTCACTATCCAACTTTTGATCTCTCTGTTTGGCTTGTAGCAAAGCTTCAGGGTTATTTCTTTCCATACAATCTCTGGGAGTGTGACCATGACCTCCGCAAATTCGACAAGTCAAATTAATAGTGAAATTCTGAGTTTCTGAACATTCATATTTGCGATGGCCAGTGGCACCACAATTGGTACAAATTTGATTTTCATCATCTCGTAGTGTACCGTTAAGGGCTGCTAATTCACGTAATTGTTGTCGTTTAAGTTCATTTTGACCTTCAGGAACCGAAGCCGACTGTGTAATGTTATCAATAATTAGTAAATATGTATTAAATCATCAATGAACATAGAATATAAACACAATTACCGTTTCGATAATCTTATTGATCATTTTAACTGCTTTAGCGACTTTTTCTTCAGCATCAGCAGTTACTAAACAATGTAAGTCTTCTTCTTGATTTGCATTAGCAGCAGCATCTGTTCTACTCTTCCCTTCTTTTACACTTCCTCTACCACGAATACTAATTTTTGCTCCCGACTCCGATTCCATTTTTTTGAGAGTATTACCACGCGGCCCAATTAATAATCCAATAAAATTAATTTCAGGAAATTCTTTAGCCGGAATATACACTTTATCTTGAACTTTAGTAGGTTTCTTGTAATCGGCTGGAGGTTTAAATTCGGGATTTCTTCGTACGGCTTCCTCGATTAATTTATGTCTCTCATCTTCTAACTTCTTGCGATATCGATACTCTCGGGTATTAACACGTTTTCCCTGAGAATCGTAAACTGGTTCTGGAGATGCCGATCTTTAATTGACCAAAAAAAAAACAAATTTTTTTTCAATAAATATGTAAGTCATTATATTCTTTATTACGTAAATTTGATAATATAAGTTACCTTTCTCTTTCTGGTGGAACATAATCCCCTAATCTTAATTTACGGCCAATTTCTTCTAACCTCATGTGTACTACGAAAAATACAACAGTGAAATGATGATCAGTTAACATGGTCAATATTCTAATATACTATGTAAAAGAAGACTTACATAAATACGTATCCAATTGTTCTTTTGACATATTGTAGGTAATAGCAGTCGGAACACCTATATCAACTTTTGTTTCTTCTCCGCTCCACCTGCTTCTTCTTTTGCGCCTACGTCCCTCAGCAACTCCATCTGAAATATTCCAGTTAGTTGAAGAAACGGTGTGGCACGATTTAAAGAGTTCAGATTTCATAGGAAAAAAAAATTAAGTGAATAGCAAATAACGAAACGCAATTTTGCACATTGTTAGTATATGAAATTTTGGTTAGAAAAAAAATAATCTGTTAAGTTTTATTGATTGCCCTGTCAATCATTGGATTGAATTGCAATTATTATTAATAAACAGCAAAGGTTGTTCATAGAAGCAAAATAAAAGCAAAGCAGTAAGCAAAAAAAAGTAGTTACTCGCTAAGAATTATAAGCACATGATATAAATATATAGTGTTGAAATATATATTGTTAAAAAACAAAAAGGGAACAAAAGTCCTAGATGATCTGGTCTATTTTATACCTGTTTGTTGATCATGTTCTTCGCTTGCTCTCTTGAGCGAATGTCCAACATTTGACTCCACTTTGATTTCTTTCTCCTCAGCTTCTTCGTTAGAGCCTCCTAATCTTCTTTTCCCCAATGGAATGTTATTTGTGCCAGTGATTGAAGGTTTATACATTACGAAAGCATCAAAAGATCCTTTACAAACACAAAGATTGATCTATAAAAGACAACGTGAAAAAAAAAAAAGTTATTAATCTGGATATTTATAGCATTTAACACAAAGATTGCCGATTATTTCACCTTTTTTATTCAGATTTTAAAAATCAACCAATCAACCTTTGGAAAAAAATTTTTTATAATAACCCTTTTTAGATCAGATCAGATCAACCGCAAATTTGAGAAATATAAATAAAATCTTAAAACTTGACCACGTGATTTTCTAATCATATTTTAAAATATAATACTCTCATATAATAAATAAATAAACAAAATAAATATATTTTAAAGAATATATTAATCTTTATATGTTAGTTATCTTAGTAGCTTATACAAATTGATACTAAATTTAATAATTTACAATTTAATAGACTTTAATTAATATCTAATAGCTTTCTATATCAAAAAATTAGGTTTTATTATATTGGTAACTAATTAAGATTATTATTTTTAATCAATATATTACTAATTTTTAAATTTAAACTAAATAATAAAAATTGTTTTAACTTTATTAACTTATGAAATCAAAATCATATTTATTAAAAAAAACAGTTATCAGTGACTCATAATATAAAAAAATTTTTTTTTACTTTGACATCTGATATCCTTAAATCTTATTCCTTAAAAATATATTTTTCTCAGATAAGTAATCTCTATTATTTCTTTATATAATCTGAAAAAAAATTTACTAAACAGTTAGATTATCTTACATAAAAATATGACTTTTAAGGAATAAATAAAAAAATTTCAAATTGAACTTTATTAAATATAATATAATCTAACAATTTTAGTATAATCTAATAGTTATCCTATAACTAATATGTTTAGCAATTATAACAAACTTGTCAAAAAATATAATCTCAATTTAAAGATAAATCTTAAAGAATTTAATAAACATATAACAGAATTATTTAAGCTCTTAATAAATAAATTAAAAAAAAAATAAGGCTTAAGATATATATAATTTTAATAAAGAATAGGTATCTGTGTTAGTCTTTACTCAAAAAATTATATAATACAAAAATCAAGTAATCTCTTAAGAAGTGAAATCAGAAGTAGAAGAAATAAATATATACTAAATATATAAACTAATTCTATAAAAAAATCTGTTAAAAAGATAGCTTAGTATATTATTCAGAATAAATTTAATAAAAAAAAAGTAAAATAATAATCAAGATCTTAATTGAAATAGCTTTTAATATTATTATTAGTTTATCATAAATCTTTAAATTTTAAAGAATATTATAAAAATTCAATATTATAGAAAAAATAATCTCTATATATTATATTATAATATAATCTACATATCTAATAAATTCAAAAGAAATATTATTAATAATATGAAGTTAAAGGCATTAACTATCTAGATAAATTTATATTAGAATAGTTGAGAAAAGATTAAGTAACTAGTAAAAATAATTCCTATAATTATTTTTAATTTTTATTTGAGTTGCAACTTAATTATGAAATAATTCAACATGAATTGTAATAAAATTGTGATATTTTTTAGTAATTTTAACACCATCTTTATAATTAGTAAACTTGATATATAAGCTAATAATGCTGTTTGAAACCTATTTTAACGTGTAACTTAAAAATTTAAAAACTATTTAAAACCTTTAAAATGATTTTTTTTTAAATCTAAAACTTGATAAAACTTAATTAAATTTAGGAAAACCTATTAGAAGTTTAGTAAAGATATTTATTATAAACAAATAGTTTATCTCAAATATCTCGAAACTAAAATTTTCTAAAAATAGTTTAAGGAGACATCTTTAGTATAAGTCTTAACTAAAATAATTATAATGCTTTAAATATATATATATCTTGCTAAATTTAGAATTTTATGCATAACTATTCTATAAAAAATTAATGTTTAAATTTTGTTTTTAAAAGATTTGAATAAATAAATTTTGGATTTTAATATATTTAGAATTTGTATTAAGTCATGAAAGACTAGAACTTATTCAATATTTGTACTTAAAAAATCTATTTAATAAAAAACTGAATGTAAATTAGCATACTTATATATAAGCTAAAAAAATACTATTGTAAATAATATTTTTACTTACTTTATAAATTTACTTTGAATAATAAGAAAAGTTTTGATTGTTAATTTTATTTAAAGAATTAATTAAATTAAATTATCCTTTATTAGAAAAATTCAGAATTTGTCTAGTTAATTTTAACTGAATATTTTTTTATATTTAGAATTTATCCTATCAAAAAATTAACCAGATAATTAAAAATTCTGAACATAGATTTTTATTCTAAAAAATGTAATTTCTAGATAATTTTCAAAAGTAACGTAAAAAGAATAATAAGTATTATTGTTAACCTATTAAAGAATAGGTTAATATTGATAGTTCTTCAGCTAACAAAAGAGTTAGAATCAAAAAATTTATTAAAAAAATAATATGTATTCTGGATTAAGTCTCAATTTTATATTTATTTTTATATAAATTAATAAAATTTTTTCTTGGCAAAATTTCAACAAATCAGTTCATCTAAAATTACATATTTTATTTTATTTGAATATTTATATTGTTACCGGCTAAAATTCACTATTGAAAAGTTGATCTACAAAGAATTATTAAATGATTTACAGAAGTTACTGGAAT